TGATGAGGTTCCACTCCTCTAGGCAAGTATTATGGGTCCATTATCCATTTGGAGTCACTTCTGAGTTTTGAAACTGGCCTCATCAGAATATAGGAGAGCACTTATCGTCCCAGCGGTATGGTTCTACTGAAGTACCATGGAGAGGCCTGGGAAGGTCAACCAGGGCAAGGAGCTCTGCCATCTAAGAAGACCTAGCTTTTCTCTGGCAAGGGCACACCGAAGGTAAGGACAGAGAAGTCAAGAAGGCTCTCAGGCCTATCAACTTTTAAACTGTCCCTTTATAATGATTCTGTGAAATAATTATTTCTATCAATGGTCAGCTAGTACAGGGGATTTAAGATAGTGGGTTCATTAAAGAGAGTCAGGATCACAAACTCATTTAAGCCTCCTCGAACCTGTTTAATCAAAATGATTTTCTGCTACTCTCGATTACAGGCCAAATTTCCGTGGTGACAGATTAATGACTGATCCACTAAGCCATACCACCTTTTGTCACCAGTCCCACTGACTAAGCCAGCCACTGTTTTATCAATAGGCTCCACTTGCCCTTGAAACTCATTATAGCTGATATGTTAAGATCAAATGAGCAGATCAGATGCTCACTGCCACCCCAGTTCTGCTACAGAGACCACCAAATCCCACAGAGCATGCGCCCGAATGAAAAAGAACAGAAGCTGGTCCTTGTGCTCTTATTAGAATTACACACTCAGGTCACTCCACAGTAAGATAAATGCCAGCCGAGGCAACACTTCTGGTTCTTCGGGCCTGCTAAAGGTAATTATCCTAAAGTTAAATGTCAGGGCTAGTTTCATGTGTGCAAAAGAAAGAAAATGTCATGTTTGGTGTAAGCAACAATATTATTTTAATCAAATCAGAAGCTCATTATGAGGAGACGATAAGCCTTGACATGACCCCAACAATACACTATGTCCACCTGACTTCCCATCCCACTTTGTCTTAACCTAAGGTTATTCGTGGATTGCCCTCATTCATAAAGCAGGAAAAAGTTGCAATGTGCTATCAGCAGAGGCTTGCACCCCAAATCCACTCAGCTCCTGATTGGCTGTGGTACAGTGAGAGCCTAGAGTGAGATGGTGTGGTTCCAGCCCCAGCTCCTCAACATCTCAGCTCTGTAATTTTTATCAAGAGACTTAACCTCCAAGAAAATAGGAGATGATCGTAAAAGTACTTCTCTCATAGGATTGTGTGAATATTAAGTGAGATAATATATGGAAAGTACCTTAAACACTGTCTGGCACACTCAGTGCTCCATAAATGTTAGCTATTACCTATTTCTGCAATGTTTTAATCTTTCCGTTACAACCAGACTGTATTATGTTCATAGAAAAAAAATTGTTAAAACAGAATAAGAAGTCTGTGACAGCATAAGTTAAAGATTTCCTCTAGCAAACAAGAGGTTACATGAAAGAAGAGATTACATTTATTTATCTTGTTCACTCTTATAACCCAATGCCCAGCTGACGGTAGGCAAATATTTGTTGGAATGAATGAATGTACTGATGGAAAAAGGAAAACTTCCTACAGTAATGTTTATGGAAAGCCAACATCAAATCAGATTCAGACAAATTAGGAGAACGGTTGTGGCATCTTGATTCCTCAACCTCAAACCATGAAGGAGTTAAATGAATGTCAGCTAAAGATGGAGAATTATTGTAAAACTTAATACAAACATCTGCTTCTTCATCGCCTCCGTAACATTGTATGTGTACAAAAGTCCAGGCCTCCATCTGAGCAAAACTTCCCAGTTGCTAGTGTTTATAAAAGAATAATGATGAAACTAATAGACCACAATACATTTACGGGCAATTATCTGAATGTTGTTCTATTTTTCCTGGATCTGTAACTCCAGGGAATAAGCCATGGAGTTATTCTAAAAGCTTTACTTCTAAAAATAAGGGGGTAGTAAGTATTTACACACCTAGAGCAATAGGACACTTTCCAAAATGGTAAGTAGAGGTTGCCAAGTCCCCTCTAGCAATGTCACAGCATACCCAAGAGTCAAGGAAGATGGAGCACACACCCGACTGTCATATTCATTTCAAAGTTGACCCTGCAACACCACCCAAGGGCTACAATCAACTCTCTAACAATAGCCCTTAGCTTTCAGTTTCCCAGGTTCAAAAATCACATCTGAATATCCCTTCCCCAAGTCCAACAAAAAGACAAGTCAGAAGGCAAGAAGTTTTCTTTCACAATGAGTTTCAAAAACTGACAATCATCAAAACAATAATTGTGGGATACAGCCTTTCAAAGTTATCAGTAGCTTCAACGAAACAACTAAAGAAATAGCAAAGAAACTGGGGCTTTGTCAATCTCAAGCAAGGCTTAGCTCAGCGAAAATGATCAGGCTGGCTGAGCAACTGCAAGACGAGCTGAGGCTTCATTGATTGTCCACTGAATAGTGAGTTTCTACAGAAAGCAACTTCTAACTACCTGTTTCCAGGCTCAGGCTTTGTGACTATTCCAAGGACTTGCCCTAAGAGTGTCTGGTCTGAGTTTCACAACACTTTAAAGAGGTTAATGATATTAAATTATGTCTGAGCCACTGTTAGTGACAGGTGACTCCATAAAGCATATAAAATGGGTGACACTTGAAAATGTTGGGGATTTTTTTTGAACATTTTTAGATGTTTTAGTGGTATGCTGCATTATCATTTTTTAAAATATATGCTGCTAAAAATATTAGTCTAACATCTAAAGCTGCTCCAAAAACAAAAACAACAAAATAGTGCATTTGGACATCAAAGCTTTTCTTTTTGCTGTGTCTTGGACATTTTTACACTAGCTAAAGGCAGTATTTCCTAAACATTATAAGAATAACCTAGTATGTGTGTTTAAAATATGAATTCCCAGCACTCACCCCAGAAATCTAAAGAGTACTTCTCCAGGGGAGGATCCTAGATGCTGTGATTTAACAAGCACTTCCGGTGAGCTTCATCCTCAGTCAGGTATGGAAATACACTGATGCAAAGATCTAAAAATGTCACCATCATCCATAAGAATTATGAGAAATGAAGAGAAGCCCAATTTTTAAAAATTTAAAGCTAAGCAGGAATCCAGAATATCATGCTTATAATGCACTGAGACTAGAAAATCTTGAACAGCTTTGGAAGCACAGTAAACCTTTCCACAACCCAAAGACCCAACAAGCGCAAGTGTTTTCATCCCAATCCAGCTGCCAGGAGCACCAAGGCATCTGCAGAGCTGGCTCTTCACTTCTAATCCTGGCTCAATTCTTCCACCTTTAGCAGACAGAGTTGAGCATCTGCCCTTCTCCTCAACTTTATCTAAAATGGAACCATAGAAAAGTAAAAACAAAACAAAAAGCAAAATTATCTCTGCCCCAGGTGAATCCTTCATGGTTTGGACATCTTTTTCAGTCATAGGCAAAGGTTATCAATGCAGGATTCTCAGATCTGAGCAGTTAAGGGAGCAGGTCAGGAACGGGGCAATGAGTGGCAGGAATCTCACTGGGGTAAGGGAGGAGAGTGCGGGGAGCTATCTACTGCAAAAGTAAGACCCCAACAGTTACTATGTACCAATTAAAAACTTTTAATGAAATTACAGTTTTGATAAAAGGCTCCAAATAACTGTGGCTATTCACTGAATGTGTTTGAAATCCCCCTTCCAAGAAAAGCAGCCCAACCTCAACTAGAAAGAAGAAAAGGAGGAACAGAGAGGAGAGTGATAAGCCCCCACACAAGGCTCTGAGTGCATCTCCTCTGGATCAGGATCTGGAAAGGGTGCTCTTTAGAAGGTGCATAGAAACATCTGGGATTCATTCAATTTATCAAATCCCCTCTCCCTGCAAGGCCTGCAGATACTGGGTGCAGGACTCAGAGAAGTCCAGTGGAGGAAGCTGACCTCCACACATACCCCACCTCAAATTCTCTGTAAACTATGCCCTGCGATATTAACAAGGGGGTCTGTGGCATGGGTCAAATTACCATTTTTAAAAATACATATGCTGCTAAAAATATTAGTTTAACACCTAAAATTGATCAGAAACAAAGAAACTGCATTTGAACATTAAAGCTTTTCTCTTTTTACTCTTATTCCTTGGGCACCTTTACAATATTTAAGGCTTCTCAGAAACAGGAATTCCTAACATTAAGTACCATAAAATATGGTACTTCCAAGTCCCCTGGAAGGGCATGGCCCTGGCCAGCTGGGGCAGTCCTTGAAGGAGCTGGCAGCCGCTCCCACAGAACAGAGGAGATGCCATCTGCTGGAAAGACTGCACCAGATGCCTCTTGCCCCACATCCCTGGGGCACACCTGGGGAATGGCAGCCAGCCTTGGGGCAGAAACCGGCCACAAGTGTGCTTCTGGGTGTCCGGGAGCAGCTTTCTCCACCCGCAGGGCTCCCTAGGAGGAGCAATGCTCTGCCATCCAGGGTCCCTTTCAGGGCAGGGGATCAACTGCACGGGCTAGCTGTTCCTGTTTCAAGACTCCGAGGGTCAAACCACCCCACCTCCCCCGTATTTTATCAGGCCCATTGCCATAACCCCCCCCACACACACACACACACGCAACACCTGACTCCCCCATAGACAGCTGGGACTCCCAGACCTAACCTCTCCAACAGGGACTCTCCTGACACATCCTAGAGATGGTCCAAGTAACCGCTGCCCCAGGAGGTCTTCTCGGGAGCTAAGCAAAGTCTACCACCACGGTTAGGAGAAGTCGAAAGCGCAGGGAACCTCTTTCTCCACAGCTGCTGGTGATCTGTGCCGTATTTTAGTGCAGTCACCTCCCCCAGCCCTACAAATACACACACCTGGACCACAGGTACCAGGCAAGCGCATGGAGCCTTCGAAGTTCTTTAAAGTTCCTTTCACGCAAGACAGTGCCCAGGAAGCAGGGACCGACCAGCCCCCGCGGGAGATGCGCACCTGCCCCCCCAACCCCGCTTCAGGGGTGCCCTCCCCGAGAGGCTCCGCGCCCCCCCACCCAGGGCCGGGTGGCGCCAGTACTCACGTCTCGAAAGCGGTTCCAGTACTTGTCCCGGTCGTACTGGGAGACGGTGCTCAGCCACTGGTCATTGTCTAGGAAATTGCCGTGGTTGGGGCCCGCGTCCAGGTGCCGGCTCTCGACTTGAAGGAAGCACCACGCCGCGGCGGCCGCCGCCAACACCACGATCGCAGGCATCTGCGGGGCAGGGAGCGCGGGGCTGTGAGCGCGAATGGCGGGCGGCCGCGAGCCCCGGGCACCCGGGCGTCCCAGCGCCCCAGCCCGGCCCAGCGAGGAGGCAGGGACTCCGCGGCGGGGACGGCCAGCGCTCGCGCACCTGGGGCCCCTGTCGCGCGTCTAGACCCAGGGACCCCTCTCACGAATGGGGGACTCAGCTACGAACCTGGAGGCTGCGTCACGAATCGGAGGCTGCCGTCCAACTACGGGGACCCCTCTCGCCTATTCTCCGAGTGCCCCACAGATGCCGCCCTCCTGTCAGGGGCTTGGTACCCCTCCCCAGAAGCTAGGAGCCCGGGTCCGCACGCCGCACTCCCAAGGACGGTGCACAGGGCTTTGGAGCAGGGGAGGGGAGAACAGGGTTCCAGCAGCACCCGAGCTCCAGCAAGCGGGGTGGGAGCTGCCTGCAGCTGGGGGTCCCCGGCCACAGCTAAGGGAAAGCCTCCCTCGCGCGCCCTGCGGCCTCGGTGGCAAGAGGGGCGCGCGGAGGCAACCCCGGGCCCTGACCCTGCCGGCCCCCCAGGCGGCCGCGGGGAGATCCCAACTACTCCAAGTTGGGGCGCGGGGTAGCACTGGGCACGTACCTTGGGGGCCGGCCCGGGTCCCCGCGTCCGAGCTGCTCGAGCTCCCGCGGCACCGTCGCCGGGAAGGCTGATCGCCGGCTCGCGTCCCTGCACTCCTGCCACCCGCCGCCGCCGCGCGTCCGGCCGCTTTGTGAGCCCGCAGCGCTCTGCTCCGCTCGCTACCTCGCTCGCTGGCTCGGGCGCGGCGTCCGCGGGCGGAGGAGCCCGAGCGCACGAGCCAGGGCTCTGGCGCCCCCTGGCGGCTGCGCGCTGCCTGCCCGACAGCCCGGCCGCCCCCAGCCCGGAACGTGGTCATTCGCATCTTCACACAGGGCTGAAATCAGCTTTCAGCCTCACGCTGTGCGAGACAGAAGAGGGGACTGAGGATACAAGGCCAAGACGCGGGGCAGCATGGAGGCATTCTCAAAAGGAAGGCCGTTGGGCTATCTAGATCAAAATCACCTGGGTGGAGAGAGTAAAAAGCTGCTTAAAAATGAAGATTCCTGCCCTGCCAGCCCCACTTGCTGAGTCAGCATTCCTTAGGAAGGCCTCCAAGTCTGCACTTTCAATCAGCTCCCCAGGCGTTTTTTATGCACAGCAAAGTTTGAGAATCACTGTCCTGCCATTCCCTGGATAAGTGAATTTCTGCACTGCCCATCCCAAGTCACGCGCGCACCTGCATCTCTGCACTCCATGCTTACCACCGTCAGTCCCTTAAGACGGCCCCTCTAGCTTCCGTGTCTGTTAGTTCTACATCCTGTGTCCCTATGTTGACCCTGTGGGTATCCCGTGGTGTCTGCTCCTGTCCTGGCCCTTGAGAACCGGCGCCAACTGACCTGTTGGGTTCCCCTAGATGGGAGGGAGGGAAGAGAAGAAAAACAGATCAGGCTACAGGGACAGGACACTGAGAAGCAATAGGCTGGTTCTGCCCCAGCCCCCAGCCCCTTTCCAAATACCCAGCAAGGTCTGATGAAATAGTGCTGGAAGGGACTTAATGCCTTCCCCCGCCTGTATACAGGTGACACTGTCCTGTCACCTTTCTCTGTCCAACTACACCCCGTTCCCCAGACACCTGAGTGCTCTTGCAGAAAAAGTCTGACCATCCCATCACCCCTCTCCCCTTAACACAAAATTCTTCACAATGCTTTCCTGATAAACATCAATCTCCTGGCTGGAGCCCCCAGGCCCTACACATCTGGCCCCTGCCTCTCACCCCTCACTCTCCTCCTTCCCTGACCTTCTGGATGGGCTGGCCCTGACCCCAGTGGAAATGGGCTCCCTCCATCCCTGGGCATTCACTTCTCCCTGGGCTGCTGTCCACACCCAGCCCCAGCATAAGTCTCATTAGTTCTTCTCTCTGCTTATTCATCCTGACTTCTTCAGAGAGGCTCTTGCTCCGCCTGTGGACCAGGCCAGCACCTGCAGTGATGCTGTCTTTGAGAACACAGCACTTCTCTGGCTGTAAGCTCACTTGACATCACTTACTCCACGTCTGCCTCCCCACCTGACTGGAGCTTCTGAGGGCAGAGACTGTGTTTGTCTTGTTCACCACTTCTCCCAGTGCCCATAGTACAAGCTCTTGACATGCTGTTAATGCTCAAAAAGTAGTTGATAAATGAATGAATGATTTAATGAATGAATGCCAGCCAGCCACGTCTGGAACAACAACATATCTCAGCCAGCATGCCAACAACAATGTAAGGTGTGGTCAATAGTATGTTCTGCTACAAATAATTTGGTTACATGGAATAGTTGAATGTGTGGAAGTCAGCAGATCTGTGGTTATCCCAGCTTTACTCTGACTGATTTGCATTCCTAGAAACTTTCTCAAAAGGGAGAAAAAGGAGTGGAGTCACAGCTACTATGTTGGGGACTGCACATCATCCACGGTTTATTTTATCATGGAATGCTGTGGGTGGGTGCATCAGAGTGGGAGAGAGGTTTAGAAACGATGAAGAGACTGTTTCTTATGTTCATAGAAACCCAAGTAAGCAGCATTTCCCCATTTATCTGCCCAGTGTGACAGCAAAATTTCTCCAAGGAGTTGTCCCTAAATGTCACTTTTGCCTCCTCACCTCCAACTCACTCTTCAACCCACTCCAATCTGCCTTTCGTCCTCACTAACTGAAATGACTTGTCACCATCAGCAGCCTCCTCCAAGTCACCAGACCGAGTGGGTACCCTCGATCCTCCCCAACATGGTGGCCTCTGACCAGTTTCCTTTGTCTCCTGTGGCTCCAGCCCTGCTGGCTTTTCTGTCCCCGCCCCCAACCACCCACCCACCACCGTCATTCCTGATGATATTCCAGGGCTTCTCGGGGCTCAGATCCAGCCCTCTGCTCTTCCCCCAAAACCCTGCCCAAGTGCAGTCCTATGCTGAGACCCTCCAGGTACACTTCCAGCCTGGAAATTCCAATGACTTCTGACTATACCTCCAGCTTCATACTTTACCTCTCCTCAATGCCCCACAGACATGTCAGACCTGTAACCAGGCCAAAACAGAAGTCTGGATTTCCTCCATGCATCTGTGTTCTCCGTTCATCTCTGTTACAGTGAATGTATGCTCAACCATATGGCTGCTTAAGCCAGAATCCCACAAGTCATCTCTAGTTCTTCCATCTCCTCACCCCTCACCTCCTATCCATCAGCAAGGGGGGTCCATTCCACTTTCAAACACCCCCTGAAGCCACCCACTTCCACGGACACTCCTGAGTTCACAAGACCATCACTTCTCACGCAGAGAACTGCGGTCCTTCTTGGCTGGTTTCCTTGATTCTCTCCTTTCCCTTGCAACTCATTATTCCCCTAAGGTGAGAGCAAACTTTTTTTCAAGAGAATCTTCTCTTCTTAAAATTTGTGTGGGTACATAGTAGGTGTTTGTATTTACAGCGTGCGTGAGATGTTTGATGCATAAGCATCACATCATGTAGAATTGGGTATCCATCTCCTCAAGCATTTATCCTTTGTGTTACAAACTATCCAATTACATTCCTTCAGTTATTATTATTTTTTTTGAGATGGAGTCTTGCTCTGCACCAGACTGGAGTGCAGTGGCACAATCTTGGCTCACTGCAACCTCCGCCTCCGGGGTTCAAGCAATTCTTCCACCTCAGCCTCCCAAGTAGCTGGGACCACAGGTGCATGCCACCACGCTTGGCTAATTTTTTTGCATTTTTAGTAGAGATGGGGTTTCACCGTGTTGGCCAGGATGGTCTCAATCTCTTGACCTCGTGATCTGCCCATCTCAGCCTCCCAAAGTGCTGGGATTACAGGCGTGAGCCACCGCACCTGGCCCGGTTATTTTTAAATGTGTGATTAACCTATTGACCATAGTCACCCTGTTGTGCTATCGAATACTCTGTCTTATTAATTCTTTTTATTTATTTGGATCCATTGACCACCCTTGCCTTCCCTGCAACCGCCCCACTACCCTTCCCAGCGTCCGGTAACCATTCTTCTCCTCTCGGTGTCCATAAGTTCAATTATTTTAATTTTTAGATCCCATAAATACATGAGAACACGTGATATCTGTCATTCCACAACTGGCTTATTTCACTTGACATCATCATCTCCAGTTCCAACCATGTTGTTGCAAATGACAGGATCTCATTCTTTTTATGGCTGAATAGTACTCCATTGTACCTATGTAGCAAGCTTTCTAAAATAGAAACCACTCCCTTGCATAAAACCTTTCAATAGCTTGCCATGACAGCAAAACAAAAATTCACATTTCCTCCCACGACTCACAAGGCTTTGCACCATCTAGCCCCTTACCTCTGCCCTTCTTTCCCTAGATTCCAGCCACATTTCTTCTCATGGTTCTGCAAACTTAGCAAGCACAGGCCCCGCAGGTCCTCCCTTCTGGCCAGGACCCCTGCCCATAGTCTTCTCTCCCTGTTCTTCCCTCTCCCTTCCTTCATAGCTGTCAGGTCTCACTCAAATGTCACCATCTCACTGAAGCCTTCCCTGACCACACCTTCCAAAATAGACACTTCCCTCCCAGCCACATCCGTATTCTCTCTTGTTGTATCTGGTTGCTCAGTCCTTCCTTTAAGAGCATTTTATTCCTTTATTATCTCTCTCTTCCTCAATTTGAATATTAATTCTGAGAGCACAAACACTGTCTTTTTTTACTCCTGTATCCCCAGGCTAATCTCAGAACCTGGCATTCAGTGGGCCCTCAAAAAATATTAGCCAGTGGTTCAACAACACATGAAGCAAGTTCCATAAACCCTTAATGCGTCCTGAAGTATGAAAGCCTTGTCCAGGGCCATTTCCTCTGTCCTTAAATCCCTTGTTCTGCAGATCCAAGTTCCACTTTCCTCGGGGACCTGTCCCCAGTTTAATCAGAGGGCATCTGCTGTTAGCCATTCTCCAACTTCACAATTGGAATCTTCCCCATAGCCATCCCCTGCCTGGGAAGGGTGACCAGCGGGGCACAGGCAGGTGTGGTCGTGCTGGATCTGGCCTGAGCCAAGGAAGGACATAACCTTGGAGCGGGGGCAAGGAGGCTGGGAGCTGGAGACCTGCCATCAGCTCCGCCAGCACTCGGGGGGAGAAATGGCAGATTTATTCAGCCATGGGAAGCACCCGGGACCAAAATCAATACTGAGCCTTGGGGCTGTATTTCTGCTTTTCATTGGCTTATGCACAACTATAATAACTCCTTGTTTTAACATAGTTCTTATTTCCATGAGCCCCACATGTTTTATTTTCAGTTTAATGGATCCTTAAACATGTGCTACGGGTAGTCAGAAGCAGACATAACTATCACCATTTTATGCTGAGGCTAGGGGAGCGCAGAAAGGCTAGATGAATTGCTGAAGGTCACGCAGAGAGAAAGATGGACCTACTTGCAGAAAGCTCTAGGTGTACCCCCATCCCCTGTTCATGACGCTATGCTGGCAAGAATCAAATCACCCATTGGGCTCCATCCAACAAAAGAGGTGCCTATAATACCTTATCATCAACCCAGATTTATTTTTAGCTGAAAACTCATGTATCTACCTGCTACATGCATCTCCATTTCGCTGTCTCATTGGTATGCTCAGAATTCAGTGTGTCCAAAATTGAACATTTGAGCTGCATCCCCCTGTGAAACCTACCTTCTTTCCTGTGTCCCCACCTTGGGGAAACCACTCCCCACCCCACCCAGACCCTGGTGTCACTCTGCCCTCCTT